CAGACCTTGTGCAGACTGCTCGCCAGAAATAATTTGCATCAAAAGGAAAATGTAAAGGAAAATTTGAATTGAAATATGTTACTGTCTTCCTCAACGTAAATAAATCGAGCGAGAATTCACAAAAATCTCAGTCTCAAATCTCACGTTTTGTATGGCGTTTGTCATTTGCTTCCAATTACAGCCGGAAGGTGCTATCGTCACCTTCTTCACTGTTGAAATTTGCCTCGTTCAAGTTGCTAGAATCGATCGGATTCTTTTATCCGACGATTTATCCATGCAACCTGAACAAATGTATCTTATTTCACAAAAAAACTTCACTTCCAAGTTATCAGTTAAGTTAAGTTAGTTAGTGAGTTAAGTTTAGTTAAATTAGTTTCGCTAAAATTTATGAAATACAAAGTGTCAAAACAAACAAATGGGTTTTTTAAAAGGAGAAATTACGGGGAAACCCTAACTTGTTACATAAACGAAAACTTCACACCCCTTTAAGCACAGTGAGTACGCATTCAAATAAAACATTCCTCAAGTTGAAAAATTATAACCATCACCAACAAGCAAAATACGAAGAAACAATGAGGTATCTCAGCAGTAAAAGGACTGGCAGAATACTGACTACAGTAGTGGCTTACGCCGTCTGCATTCAAGTAACTCCTGTACAAAACGTACCTAGGCACGCTTGCAAAGTGAGGCATGCCTTAGCTTCCTCTCCTCTTGCCAGCAATGCGTCAGATCAGCTAGAAGAGGAAAAGTTTGGGCCAAATCAAATATCAAACTTTGTAATTGTAATCAACAATAAAGTGTACAGAGGATCACCTCAGGACGCTTCGTGCTATCGGGCGGTCATTACTTCGCGGTCGTCCATGCAACTGATCATTGCACATAGCAACATCTTCGTTCTCCAAACATTTTCTTTGGCACATTCTTCGAATTCACTTTCATTTTGGTTGTTTGTTTTACTATAGAGGCCTTTTGGATATAGTTCGGTTTTTAATCCAAACAACAGTTTACCGCTTCATTGATATCACCAATCCAAATAATACATAATATGACCCACTGTGATGACCTTTAAATACGTAGTACGTTTTATAAAGGAGTGCGTGTGATGTAATGGTCGGAGGCGCCCTGCAATACACATGGGATGGAAGCTCAAGCTCCGGGCCCACCAAGTCTTCCATCCCTTCGGGGCCGACAGATTGGTACCAGACTTTTCTGGGTGGATAGCACCACTAGATCAATACATCGGTAGGCCACCTCTATCGTTATGAAGGCCAGATATGCATTCAATTGCCTCCAACGTTGCTTAATGAAGTTTAATGCCTGGCGCATTCCTCAAGGATTGATCAACACTAAGAGCTTCCTCCTTCATATCTTATTTATCCATAATAAACACCATTACTAGAGTTCACTGAATGCGTAAATGTCACGTACGGTAGTTACCGGTGTTCTACCGATTTATGAAGTCAGTGCTTTTGTTCTTCTAGAGCAACCTTGCAGAAATCTATTGAAACCGGGAGAACGAATCGCTCGGGGAGCCTGAGACGTGTAATCGAGTCAAAGACCAAGCGCCTGTCTAGCGTGTAATTCGGAAGAAAATAAATTTCTGCTCCAATTTCAACCTCCAAGAATACCATAACCAACTAAATAACCATTTATCAAACAAGTAGATGCTGTCAACGATCTAATGGGATGACCATCACCACCTACGTTGCTAGGGAAATAATTTTTTTCAAAACTTTTGGAATGACGATTATATTTAGGAGACATCACTCTCAAGAGAATGTGCCGATCAGTCAAAGAAAACACCTGAAAGCCTTGCTATATTTAAAATCCACATTCCACAGAGAATTACCTAACTTGGAGGCTTTACAAAGCCAGTCCTCTTTACACATACCAGCAAACAATGCACGGCCACTTGGGCTTACCTCATACAGGATTTAGATATCGGCCGTGTAAGCATAGAATCTCCATTCCAAACCTCAACTAAATGCTCTGTAAAAGGCAATGCTTCTAGTCCACTCCACATACATAGCTTTAATGAAGCACACATGTGTTGTAGACATACCAATCTTGTTTGATTCCGAAGCCACGCTGAGCTGAATGCGACGATAGAGAACATTCTTCACGAATATTGGAATGTTCTCTATGTAAAACATTTTAAATACTTTTCAAACATTTCACCTTTTCTCCATGACGATCTGATAACCTTACGTCAGACATTTTAAATACTCCCCCCATGACCTCGCAACAACGATCTGATACCCGTACGTCTAACATTCCGCTGGGGCCTATCTCATAAAAATATCTGCAGTTACGGTCCTAGGGTTTGAATATCGCCCTAACAGATTGCAGTGCTTGAGAAATGTTTCCAGCACCCGTCTTTCGGCCTACTGTAGCGCGACTCCGCCTACTGTAGTCTGAATCCGCCCAGCGCAAAAGGTATATAAACGGCTCCACGGTTAGCTAGCTCATGTCACAGCAAAGCTGCCCAAGTTACCGTATCCTTTCCTCAATCCATCTCATATAGTAGAAGACATATGGCAATCTCTTCACTCATAAGCAACCTGAACACTAGTGATCATGCGCCTATTTATTACCTATATCATTGTTGCATTAATTGTACAATTGTCAGAAAGCATCGAATACTGTTCACTTAATGTTAACCTTCTATTTGCTTTCATTTGCTGCCTACTATAACCTTTCAGGCTAGGGCATGATGTGAAATACAACCACAACGATGTTGAGATATTCGCAAAACATCGACCACAGGCCAAATTGGACGACGATTAGCTTTTCCGGGGGCTCGCGTGTTAAGCACTGGCACCACCGATGCCCTCGTTTTGCGTTTCTTTCAGCTAGTTCTCTATTTAACGCTGCATCAAAAATCATATGTCAACGGGATTGATCTGGGGACAAGGAAAAGAGAACCGGCTCGAGATCCCTCATATGAGGGACCCCCGTGGACGGCTTTAGTAGGGGTTAATAATCGCATCATTACTAATTTTAACGACGACGACAATGTGCTTAAGACTCGAGTAGCGCTCCTTTACGGTTCGATTAAGTAGATATCTTTCGTGAGCTTAATAAATAAGTCCTGGGTGGAAATTTTAGCGTTGAATTCCAAATGAACAACATCCTTGAGGTGCTGCAACGACTTGCAACGCAGAAGGAGACCACCTTGACACAAGCATTCCATTAATATATGCCCAGTAAATATATGAAACAGATACACAAAAAGAAATCTGATTTACCGGAGTAGGCGACATGCCATTTTGTAAAGCTCTCGAAACTAATGAATATGTTGGAAAGCACGAAGAGCAACGTCTCGAATGAGATAGACTTCAACCCATCAGATGCAAAGCAGCCACTTATGCTTACTCCAAAATTGAAAGAAAAAATATGGGAATGAAAAGTATTTTAGGGAGCTTTCAAATGTTTGATGTACTGACAAAAGATGGACGACTTCCTCAAAACGAACTGCTTCCATGACGCTAAACAGGGAAAAGCAAAACAATTCGTCAGACACTACGAAGCATTT